GGGAGAGGGGGTTTAGGGTTCAGGGCTTCGGGTTGAGAGTCTAAGATTCAGGGCATGCGGTTGAAAGCCGACAGTCTCGTAGAGTTTAGTAACCCACAAAAGATCCCACAACAATACACTCCTCACACTTCAGGATGCCAGACAACCCCTGACGCCCAAGTCCTGGCCAACATGGCGCCGTCCTTCCGCCTCGCTTGACAGGGGCATGACCCCAGATCCCCGGAAGCATCAACAAATTGATCCCTTAAGGGGGTTCCTATAAAGTACCCCTTACTAGTACAAGGTCCCAAATTAGGAAATCTACTTTCTGGATCCTTCCGGGGTCTGGGAGGTGGCTCGAGCATAGAGCCCAAGATGTCTCGGAGGTGATCCGTCGAAATCTGAAAAATAGGAGTTTGGGAGTTTCCGATGATAAGGGGTGCCTTATTTTGGGATCCTGATAAAAAGGGAACCCTAAACCCTAAACCCTAAACCCTAAAACCCTAAACCCTAAACCCTAAAACCCCTAAACCCTAAACCCTAAAACCCTTAGGGCCCTCTATTTCCGGAAACCTCCATTTAAGCTGGAACCTCTGCATGGGACCCACGACACCCTGAACTGCCTCCAAAGGGGGCAACGGCTCAAAGTGTTTAGGGTTTAGGGTTTAGGGGTTTAGGGTTTAGGGTTTAAGGGTTTAGGATTTAGGGGTTTAGGGTTTAGGGTTTAGGGTTTGAGGCCAGGGCGCTGGGCTTCGGATTTCACGTTCCGCTTGGAGCTCCCAGAAATCGTTGAGCCCGTGCCGTTGCCACACTAGAGAAGGAGGACCCAAACCCTGAACCGGCGTCGCCTTCGCTCTTACTTTGACATTTGAATCCCTGGAACATCCCTCCTTTCAGCTAATTCACCCCCAGTGGAATTCGGGAATCCCGTCGCCTGGTCTGCGCGCCGAGCGGTGTCCCCTCCGAGCCCCGATGGCCACGCGGCAGCAGTAGTCTGCAGTCCCTGTAATCCTTCCTCTCTCTGCTGGCATGCCGCACACATACCCTACGAACGTTCATAACTGTGCGTGTATGTGTGGATGCACGCACGAAGCTTTGTCTGTCCGTCAGTCCGTCCGTCCGCCCGTCTGTGTGTCTGAATGCATGCGTGCATGGCAAGTAGGCATGCATGCGTGTGTGTATATTATATATATATATATATACATACATACACACACACCAATGTGGACAGGAATCGGGATGTGGGTTGTGATCGATATGGGTTCCAAATGTCGGGAACAAAGTCCTGACATTTAACGGGAAATCGGCAAGACTGGTAAGGAGTGGGAGGGGCGGCCCGACCAAAATTGTAGGGGCAGATTCGACAGACAAGTCGCCTTAATGACCAGATGGAATAATTGCATTGGGCGAAGACTGGGCCCAGGCTGCAACAGTGCACTTTGGATGGAAGGGAGGACTTGGGTCTGGGCTCCAGCCTTACCCTCCAAAAGCCTGGCAGCAGGCTGCACCTTGGCGATTGCCCGCAACTGCTCCGCCCGAGGCAGCCGAAAAGAGATGTACCTCTCACCATCTCTTCAGCTAACGTCGCATCGGATTTGACTTCCGGATGTTCACGGAGTTCCGATGAGTCTGCTCTGGGAGTGCTGCAATGCCAGAAACCGGACAAGCCACGTAGACAAATGCCAAGAACCGGCCGGGTCTTAAATCTGACAACAGGGAAAGCTGAGAAACACATCCTGCGGTTTCGCGCTGTGGACTGCGAGGGCACCAGGCCAACAAGTGAAAGGGCAGGATCAGCAGCACCTCGCAGTAACAGCGGGCTGCAAAATGGCGCATGAGGCTACTCCAGGCGTCGGGTGCCGGACAAGGGCCTTCTCTGGACTACGAACATTCGGCCGAGGCGAAAGGATTCGTCTTCAAGTCATCCAGATGTTCAACGGAAGCCTGGAAAAGTCCTTCCCTCATTCCAAGTTTTCCCAACGAAGGCATTCCGAATGAACTGAAGGTGGCGGGATGAGGTCTGAGATCCGATCTTCCAAACCCTGGCAGGCCCACCTCTCCAACCAGCCAGGTGTCACCGGTCAAGACCTCGTCGAGACACCGGCTTTGGCTTTGTGGGCGTTTTGGGCTTAGGGTGTAGGGTTCAGCGTTCGTGCTTTGACGTAACTGCCTCGGCCGAGTTGCCGCTGAAAAACAGAAAACTCCGAGACTAAACCGACTAAACCCTCAGCCTCGGCACCGGGACCCCGACTGCGAAGACCACCAGGGCCAGCACCACCAGGGGCGCGATGGCGCCCTGAAGGCTCCAGGGCTTCGAGGAGGCATCGCTTGATCCAACTGGTTCGGGACGGTGAACTTGATGGTTCAGAGCCGGCCGGGCGCAGGGCTCCGCTGAAGAGCTCGGAGAGCATAAACCCCCGAATCCCTTCAGACATCCTTCACCCTGGACAGGCCTGAACCCGAGAAGACACCCTAAACCCTAAACCTTAAACCCTTAAACCCTAGACTCTAGACCCCAAACCCTAAACCCTAAACCCTTAAGCCCTAACCCTAAACCGAACCTTCGGCACGGAGCTGGGGATCCGGGCCTCCTGCGTCTGCAGGAAGCTGAGCCTTGCCCTCCAGGTCACGACCTTTTTTGGCTGCTTGACGTTCTGGGAGGCTTTGCGTCTTCCGGCACCTTTCAGTAGCCTTGAAGCCCTTTTGGAGTTCTGGGAGGTTTTGCGCCTGGGTCTGGAGCTTCCGGCACCTTTCAGTAGCCTTGAAGCCCTTTTGGAGTTCGGGGGCCTTTAGAGTGTAGGCTAACAGGGTTTACGGGCTCAATGGCTGACTCTTTGTGGGACTTCGTGGCCCCGAGATTACCGCGCCCGCGCCTTGACGAGCTCCAGGAACTCGCCGACCACGGCCTTAGAAAACGGTCCAAGATTCAGGGGAACTTAAACCAGTAGGCAAAGGCAACACCGGCACATAAGAATGAACTGCAGAGCATCATGGCCACCACCGTGAGTATGAACTCACAACTGCAGGCCCTGCAATCCCATGCTGCACGATGCTCCGCCTCGATCTGCTCGACCAGCCTTTCGTTGGCCACTGTAGTGGAGAGCCCGAACCTCAGTTTCGGAGAGCCTACATACCTACAACCTTCAAGCCTTACTCTGGCCCTAGAGGGTCCGGGGTCAGGGTAGCTTGGCAACGACCCTGGCGCCATTCCAGTTTCAGGCTCGGCCCGGGCCCTGCCTCTTCCATTCTCACACCCAGACCCGAATCCACTACATAGGCTACAGATCATTGAACTCGACTTTTTCACGACATGTCCCCGATGCCCGAAGCCCTTCTGTGACATCACGATGGATAGCAAAACTCACGACAAGCTGGAACAGTCCCCCGAACCCACTACCTCACACCTGATAAAGCAAGCTTCGGAACGTGCAACGCAGACTTTTCACAGCAACACCAAGGGCCCGCGTTTGCAACGCCCATGCGCGAAACCTTCAAAAGAACGACCGGGGCCTTTACACCGCAGCCTCCTCCTCCGTCTCTGCGCGGGCCGGGCCTGCAGCACAATTCCGGCATCAACGGCTGCACACGCCGAGGCAACTGTTGGCGGGTGGCGGGGCTTGGTTGTCTGGGCTTCGGGAATTTATTTCGGGGAAAAATCTTTGCCTTACGTTACGAGGCCCCTCTCGCCTCGTGCAGCTGGCGGAGGCACCGCCTCCTCACGCAAGGCAAGCAAGGGTGGTGTCATCATAAGACTAATCATAACCGCGATCGAAACCTCTGGAGATCATCTCCTCGGGCTTCCTAAACACTGGACCCTGGGCCTAATACGAACCCCGGAGCCAGATAAAGCTGCAAGCACCACCTGAAGCTCTGCCCGTGCCTGAGGCAGTAGTAAGAGCGGTGTATTCCACTGGCCTCCCGGTTTGGACAGGCGCTGACAGGCTCGGGCTTTTGCTCTAGGGGGCTTGCTGTAACAGCATGGGAACTGGATTTCGGGTTTCGGGCCAAAAGGCGAATTCTTATGGTTCGGGGCTTAGGGGCCTTCCGAAGTCGGATGACGTGAAAGTATTGTTATCGTTGTCTGAATAGCTTGTTGCTTCCATGCTTGTAGGTTTGTTTATTGAGGAGGACTTTCATCGTGGTATTATTTGTGTAGCCTGACTCTTGTGAGCAACACTGTAATTACTACTTGTATTTGTTGTTCTTAATTTCATTATTGCAATCGCTACCATTACCAGTATCAGTATCATCATAACTGTCATCTCCGGTCACTGCTGTTACCCGTATCATGTTCATCATCACTACCATCATCATAACGATGATCGTCGTCATTTTCAGTCTCGACATCAACAAACCTTATATCAACAATACACCGTAATAGTCATCGTATGTGTATATATATATATATATATGTATATTGCTATTACGTACTATTTATACAGTTACTATGAATATTAAACCCTAAACCCTGAACCCTAAACCCCTAAAACCTCTCAACCCCTAAACCCTAAACCCTTCAACCCCTAAACCCTAGACCCCAAACCCTAAACCCTAAACCCCTAAACCCCCAAACCCTGAACCCCTAAACCCCTAAACCCTAAACTCCTAAACCCCTAAACCCTTCAACCCTAAACCCCTAAACCCTAAACTCCCCACCTGTAGTTTCCTTTAAGACTGCGAACCTTCCGCTGGCTGAGATTGGTAGCAGTGTTAGGGGTACCCCTTCTGAACCCTACTTTT